ACTGATCCGCCACTGATCCGCGCCCCGCGCCGTAGATGGTGTCCGGGCCTGCGGGCGCAAAGTTTGAGTTTGGCTCGGGAAGGTGGCTGCGGGCCGGCCTGGCTTTGCCGCGGACGTGCAGCACCGGCCGGACTCTCTCGCTCTCGAGGCTCTCGAGGGACGTGGCGCTGCGCGCAGCCTCGCGCGCAGCAGTGCGAGAGGGACACACCGGCGAGGGCACTGTTCGGAATGGAGCCGCTCTGCGGTGGCGCTGGGGCCGCGACGCCCCGGCCGCCTCGACCCGAACGAGGCCCCGAACGAGGCCCCGAACGCCGACGTGGGTCCAGTGATGCCAACGGCTGTTCTTCGCGATTCGTGGCAGTCCGGAAGGACCCGCTCTAAAGCCGACCCTCCGGCTGACAGCCCCGCCCCGCCTCGCCCCGCCCCGCCGGGGCTGGACCGGGGCCGCTCCGGAGATGGCCCCTTGTGCAGTAACTTGATTCCGGCCCGACTTTTGGCCGCTGGCTGTTGAATCTCGGGACGGCGGAAGGTCCACGGAAGTGTGTCGAGGGGGGTCGCGCCCCGCCCCGCCCCGCCCCGCCCCAGGCGACGCGGTACGCCGCGCTGCTTGCATCCGTCTAATAATCATAATGGCGGCGTGGCGCAGGCAGTGTCTCCCTCTCCCTCGTGGCGCGCCCCGCACCAGTGTAGCGGCCCATGGAGGGAACAGGATGGCGCCTTCCCCCGGCGTGCTGCCTTGCTTGGCCTTGCTTGGCCTTGCTGCGCCTCGAGGCGCTTCGGCTCGGCGGGGATCAAGGCGGCCGGGCCGGCCGGGCCGGGGAAGCAGGTGGATCGGGCCTCTCCCTTCCCTTTTTGCTGCCCTTTGGGCTGCGCTGCCCTGGCGCTGCCTGCGCGCCGCCCTTTTTTGGAGCTGCCTTTTGGCGCCTTTTGGTCCCTTTCGGCCCTTGCCTCGGATCGATGCCCCTTCGTTGGCTTTCTGCCTCACTATCGCCTCGGCTCGGCGGCCCTGCGGCCCGGTGGGGCGCAGGTGTAGATGGCCGGGGAACTACAGCGAGGCGACCCGCGTAGGTGCGTTACTCCAGACACGAGCTCCAACTAGTTCGCAGTGAATCACGCGTAGGCCTACGTCCACTGGCCACTTCGTGTCGCGTGCCTGACGCGATGCCCGTTCGGGGACGGCGCAGGCTGTGTCTGCTGGTTAGCGTCGGTAACGGGGTCGCGTCGCGGTGCCACTTGAGGGCCGAAATGACTCGTTGCCGAGTCCGCCCGGCCCAGCCGAGTTAGGGTCGCTTTGCAGGCTTTCCGGCCCCTTAATCAGAGGAAGGCCAAGTTTTTAATTGCAGGTTGTGGCGCGCCCTGAAGCGCCCTGAAGCGCCGTCACTTGAAACCCGCCGCGCGTCCCTTGTGTCTCTCCCCACCCCCTCCCCTTTTTTTTGCTCCGTAAGGAAAGGGGCGAAAAATGCAAATGAAGCGAGACAGCGAATGAATGCGAAGCCGTCGCTTGAACACGCCCCTAACGCCCCCTTGTTGTTTGCTTGTTGCAGGTTGGTGTCGGTCTGTCGCCTCGGAGTGCTGGAGTCGTCGCCGCCACTGCGAGTCGTTCTATCCACGGCGTTCCGGACCCCAGCAGTCGGCCTAAATTGCAGTGACTAAAAAAGGAATCGCCCCCCACCCCCAAAGAAACGAGCACCGACGCTTGACAAATATTGACGTGAAAAGTGCAATTTTCGGTGCGTCGCGTCGCTCTGTGTCGATCCACGTGTTGACGCCCGCCCCGGCCGGCGGGGGGCTGGGGCAGGCTGGGGTGGTGGGGGATAAATATATTTTAGCCGCTTTGAGAGTTTGGGGCCTGTGTAGGCACTGTGACGTAGCGCGTCGGGGCGGGGCGGGGCGGTGTGGGGCTGTGTCAACATTCGTCACCGTCCAGGCTGAACAGGGCGGCGCGGGCGGCGGGGGGCGCGGCAGCCGTATAGTTCCCCGGCCTGTGATTACTGTGTGCAAGCTGCCAGGGCTGCCAGGGCTGCCAGGGCTCCTCTCTGGGCTGCGAGGCGCAGGCAGGCCAACTCTGTTAGACGGCCGGGCCGCGCGCCGCGCTCACTCATCATCTTCCCCGTGATGGCCGAGGCCGTGCCCCGCCGCGCCCCGCCGCGCCCCGCCGCGCCCCGATTGCCTGCGACGCCTAATGAGCACGCCGAGGCCGAGGCCGGCTGGGATTAGCGAGATATTGCCGCGCCCGGCCCGGCATTCGGCGTGGCGGGCGGAGTGGCGGCTTGCCCAGGCTTGCCTCGCCGCGTCTGGATGGCTTTTTGCGACGTCCTCGTGGACGCCGCCCACTCGCACACAGACACACAGACCGCCGCCGGTTGCGCACGTTTGAGTGTGCCGGCTTCGGCTTGCTGCTTTTAGCGAGAGGGTGGTGCGGGCACGGCAAACTCCCCGGCGCTACAGAGTGAAATTGTGCAATTGGTTTTGCATACTACAACGCCACGCTGCGCCACGCTATGCGCGCTGGGGGGGGGGGGGGCTGCTGGCGGTTCTGGCCCGCGGCCGACGGACACGAAGGACACCCTGTCCGTCCAGCTCCCCTTCCCTGACGGCCTGACGGTCTGACGGCGCGGCGGGCGGGCTGGCCGGCAGCACACGCGAGTTTGTTAAGCTCGTTGTACAGATTGAATCAACGTCCGCCGCGCCGCGTTTCGTCCTGACTTTGACCCGCAGTGCGGCGGTGGCAGCCTCGGCCAGGAGGAGGCCGTGGTGGAGGCCGCGGAGGAGGCCGTGGCGGGACGACGCGCGTGTCCGGTTTGGAAATGCATTTTCGGTCCGAGGCCGCCGCCGACGTGCAGCCCCGGCGGGGTCGGCGGCGGCCGATGGCGGCGTCCCAGCAGGGGGCTGGCTAGCCCCGCCGCCCCGCGCGGCCCTGGGTTACCCTTTGGTCCCTGACCTCAAACTAGGGACCCTGCAGCCGCCACAAATAGTGCCTGCGGGGCTGTTCCGTGGCCGGGGAGGTCGGGGAGGCCGTGCGCCGTGCGACAGTCGGGTCCGGGAGGGTTTCGGCTGGGGGCGGGGTGGGGCGGCCGGGCAGGCAGGCAGGACTTGCGGCGATTTGACTCGACTTCGGTTTCAGCCGCTAAGTTGGCCGGAATGACTCCCAGTCCGCTCCCCTCCCCCCCCTCTCTCTCCGCCTGTCTCTCTCTCGGCCGCTATCGTGGGAGGGATCCATTAGCCCGGGGCTCGGAGTGCGAGGAGTACGGCCCGGGCCGTGACCGGGCCGTGACGGCGCGGGGAGGCCTCTCATTTACCTGGGTGGAAGGGGGAGGCGGAGGGGGTGAGCCCCCTGCGGGCCGCGACGCGCCCGCTCCACTTGAAGGCGTTGCTGCCGCCATGCTGCCCCGTGCCGCGTGTGCGTGCGTCTCGGCGTCACGCGTCGAGACAGTTGATCGGCTCGACGCGCCCTTTGAGACTTTGAGGCGCGCTGGCCTGGGCCGCCTCGGCCTCGCCGGGCCGCAACTCTAAAGAGGCGCGACGAGGCCCTAACAAGGCTTCTCGGGGCGTCGTGTGTCACCGCGTCTCCGGCGGGGCGGGGCGGAGCGGAGCGCCGAAAGCATCCCGCCGGTTTGAGTTACCTCCCTCGCTTTCATTTATTTTTCAGACTTTTAATTTGGCCGAAGGAATTTTTTGTTAACTTTGATTCTTTCCGTAAGTGGTCGGTCGGTCCCTTTGCCACCGCCTCTCGGCCTCGGCCTGCCGTTTCGCGAGAGAAGGAGCAGGCCTCTTTTGATGGGGAAGGCCCGCGGGGCTGGAGGGCGCTGGGGCCCCAGCCTGGGGGTCAGGTGGGGCGGGGCGGTTCCATCAAGCGAGACCGCCGCGCCGCCCCGCGCCGTCTGGTTGGGTTCGATGCGAACGGCAACTCGGCGGTGACGGCGTCCCCGGGGTGTGTCCGGGCCGCTCTGCCGCCGTGCCGCCGTGCCGCCGCTCCGCCGTCCCCGGGGCGTCCGCATCTCACTACGCCGTGGGCTGTTTCCGATTCGTTTGGGAGCTCGAGGCGAGGCGAGGCGAGGCGGGTGTCGCCGTGTCGCTCCGGCGGCGCGCGCCATAGGGCACACGGCGCAGCAAGGCGCCACGCCGCGCAAAAGTCACTCGGATAAAAGCGGACAGGAAAATAAGTGCGGAGGAGTCCCCGTCTTCGGGGAGGTAAGATTTTTGTCATTTTGGGGCCGAATGCAAATTTATGGTAACTGGTTTCGCTGGCAGGCGCGCTGCTTTTTCCCCCTTTCGTCCCAGGGTCCCGAAAGCAGGGTGGGGCACGGTGGGGCGGGGCGGGGCGGGGCACGGCTGGAGGGCCCCTAAAACGAGGTGCTTACGGCCGGCATGCTGCATGTGTTAGCGCCAAGGCAAGGCGGCGCCCGGTTTTGAATTTCTGCTATTCCACTGCGTCAGTCAAAGTCAAGTCCGACTTTGTACAGCAGCCGCATAACACAGGCACCTTTCCGCGCTGCGAAGCTAGACTGCGTGGCACTGTTCGATGCGCCCTGGCGGTTGGCGGGACACGACAAAACGACGACACACTGTTGCAGTTGTTTCCGAGCGTCACTCCAATGAAAGCCATGGCTTTCAGATTCAGCGTATGTTCTTTGTTGCCCTGACGCGAGAGGGTTCAGAGAGGCAGCCGGTGTCCCAGTTTCTGCCCCATCCTGTGCTCCTCGCTCTGCCTCTCTCGCACGCCCGCGGCGCACTCCATGAGTGCGAGAGAGACAGAGCGAGACCGCAGGCGCGCGGGCGGCCAGGGCAGGCAGGCAGGCCGGGCTAGCAGGCCGGGCTAGCGCCTGACGGCGGCAGCATCGGCACGCCGCCCAGCAGCGGCGCCGTGCGTGTTGCCTACCCCCGACTTCACAGGCGTTTGGAGCGCGCTCGCTCGCTATCCCTCACCAAGAACCAATCAAAAAAAAATTATAAGCGCGCGGGAAAAAGCAAAACGTAAACTGGTACCTTTTCTGTTGCAGGGGCGGTGCTGTCCGTGAACGTGGAGGTGTTCCCCTCGGAGGCCGTGGTGTCGGTGGGCCAGAACGTGTCCATGCTGTGCCGCGTGTCCGTGCCCATCCAGTACTGCCGCATCGAGGTGCCGGGCCTGGAGGCGCCGCTCAACCTCAACCCGCTGCGGGGCCCCGCGCCGCCGTCCATGGCCGCCTACCTCGGCGAGGGCCTGGACAAGGGCCACTGCGGCGTGTCCATCCCGCGCGTCGAGGACAAGTACAACGGCGTCTTCAAGTGCTCCGTGGGCACCCCCACCGAGGCGCACGAGAGCCAGGGCACCATGTCTGTCGTCGTGGCCCGTGAGTTCGATCGACGGTCTCCGTCTTTTTTGCCCGTTTTGTGTGTCCGCCTTTTCCAGTGCCGTGACCACCCGATTTGCTTTCCAGGCGCCCCCCAAGGACCCCCCGCCATGGAGCTGACGCGGCCGCGCGACCCCCAGGACACCTACCAGGAGGGCGAACGCTTCCTGGCGACGTGCGTCGTGCCCGAGGGCAGGCCGGCCGCCAACATCACCTGGTTCATGGGTCCGTAGTCTTTGGACTACCCGTTCTCCCTGGGCACTCCCTGGGCACCGACTCGCCCCGCTGACGCCCCCCTCTCTCTTTCTCCTCTGCAGGTGACGACCTGGTGACCGAGGGCGTGTCCGCGCCGGAGATCTTCGAGAACTCCAAGGACAAGCTGTACCGCATCCGCCAGAACCTGACCCGCGAGCTGCGCTGGAGCGACAACGGCAAGGAGCTGCGCTGCGTGGCCGCGCACCCCATCCTGGGCATGGACCCCGCCCGCACCACCGCGCGCAAGCGCATCAGCGTCAAGTGTGAGTCCGCGAGTCCCGAGTCCGCCGGTCATTGGTCATTCCCTCTCGCGTCGTCCCGGCCAGTCGCCCAGCTCAGCTGGCACGTTGCACTGTGGGCTTTTGATTCACATTTTCATCTTCTCTTAAAAATGATGACTTCATCAGAAATTGATTAAATTGTAATCGAAGCTCCTACTCATTGCATGGTCATGGTACTAGACCCGAGACACACTACTTGATGATAAATTTTCGAACTACCTATGCTTATTGGTACCATACTGCTGCTTCGATGTAGGGTTCGCTGTAAGGAAATTTAGCCTCGACATTGTCATCAAGTGTCGACCATAGATTTTCAGAGTGTTCCTGAGGCGACCCCTTGTAACCTGGATTCCGTGATTCCGTGTGTCCCTAGTCTCCCCCCAGCCGGCGTCCGGGGACCTGGAGCAGTTCGGCTTCACCGAGGGCGAGGAGGGTCACGTGGCGATACGCATCAAGGCCAACCCCAAGCCCAGCTTCGTGTGGACCGTGGGTCGCGAGGACATCTACGAGGGCAGCGCCAGCTCCGACACGGAGCGCCACTTCGAGGTCGCTTACACAGAGCCCAAGGTGAGCGTGCGGAGCGTGGACCGTGCACCGTGCGCGGCACTGGTGGCTGTGGCGCGCGCTGCAGTGTAAAAAGTCTGCAAAGCATCTGCTTCACATTTGCGAAGGAAACGAAGGCATTTTAGAGTTGCTTCGTTTTGAGTAGGATTTTGATTTTGCCCATTTTTACAATGCCTCCCTTTTCTTTGTATTTCTTTGTGAGCTTTCTACCGTGTGGTGTTGCCATATTTTGCAGTCGGTTCTTACATTTCTTGCATTGACTTTCTAGGGTTATGGCGAGTGGGAGACGAAGCTGTTCATTAGACCTGTCACCAAGGAGGATGTCGACCGAGAATACAGGGTTCAGGCCACCAACACCATTGGGCAGCAAGACTACATCGTCAGAATTTCCACAAGCTCACAGCCAAGAGGTTTGGAACTTTCATTTAAATTTGTTGCTTGTTTACCTGTGCCTTTTTGGAAATTTAACTGTAATCCATGTTTTGTTTGCCCTTTAGCTATGGCTGAAATGGGAGCCGGAGCCATCGTTGGAATTGTCATTGCAGTCCTTCTTGTGCTGTTGATCATTTTATTGTGGTCTTTGCTCGGGCAACAGGCAGATGGTGCTTTGCAGGTAGGTTCATTACATGAGTGTATAATTGTAACATGCTTAGAATATTGTTCGAACACTGTTCCAGTTAAGTTGTTTGGTGATCCAAAATCCTTGTGTTTTGGTCTTGAATGCCAACTTGATTTACACAATTCACTTCAACATTTGCATAGAGACTCTCATGCGTTCTGCTCACAGAGAATTTTCTAAGGGCATACATTGTCTGCCGTTGAATATGAAAGAATGTTTTAGGGAAAAAAGTCATTATGTGTGGAGAAAAATTTGAAAAATATGTTTTGTTAAGCTTGGAAGTGAAAAGTCCTTGCTTTTGTTTTCTCAGAACAAACTGGAGACCCGCTATAGAATTTGTGGGTATGAGGTGAGAACGAACACCATAAAGTGCATGAAAGCTTCAGGCCGGTAGATGATAGAACCCCAATTACCCATGTACTTGCTCCATATAGTGTTTGTCAACTTTTAATTTCGTTACTTTTATTTAGGATCATCTTTTATTGTTTATCTAAACAGTTCAAGAGCGTTTTCTCACCACACAAGGTTATATTTTTTGAGGGGCCTACAGTTTGGCTCAACAAACCTCTATTCATGAAAATTTTTGCTTTTTTATTTCATAGGTACAATTTCTACACCATAGAAAATGTGGTGTAAAAATAGATTTTTAGTAACTTGTTAACAAAATTTCTCTCATTTCAGAGGGATATAGAAAAAAGATTAGCCCAGGAGTAACTCTATTCTTTCCCTTTTCTCCGTAGGTAGGTACACTGGTACTAACCCCTTCAAATCAGCCTCCCTCATGATACAAACGACTATATGTGCCACAATCAGACTTTTAAAAAATAAGATTATGGCTATGTGTATTGTGAGGGTGGCTTCCAAGAGGTAGCTTTTAAACTGGTGATTCACTTTCAGTTTTTGAGTTTGCTACTTGCTGCTTGCATTTTTCTCACTTCATCTGAACAGAAATCTATCTAGTTAAACCTTTATCTCATTTTTAATAAAATGTAAACGATGTTTGAGTGGACAATTATGGAGGTAAATTTCTGTCAGCGAATTCTCTGAAACTGATAAGTAGTGCTGGTTGACATTGTCTACATCTCTTGGCACACTAACATGAAAATCACCAAACACACTTCTCATGTCTTCTCATTTTCTTACATATCAATCAGACCAACTGTCATTGAGAACAGGAAGATCCAATAGTAGTTATTTTTCAAATAATATATTTTAGTTTATGTATTAGTGCTAAAAATTTCTCATAAATTAATTGAGTTTTGAAAAAGTCTATTTTTCTTTATTATTCGAATGGGGAGAAAACGAAATATTTTAGTATTGTGTTATTATCAGGCTTGATAGTTATCCTGCTTTGAGATTTATCAAAGCTTTCTATATTATATAAAGTGCTTTTGAAGTGGGGAATGAAGAGCTAGTCTTTTCTTTGAGTGCTGTGTATGAACTATATAAGCATGAACATTCTCCTCATTTGTGCTTGAAGGTTTCGTCAGAATAAAACCAACAAACTTGCAGCTTCTTATGGTATTGCCATACATCATTGTGACTTTCTAGCTTACATCTTTTTAAGTATTTCATTTCTTTATATGAGTTTAGTTTTGTTCTGCTGTTTAACATTGACCCTCCTATGGTTTGAAACATGTTTGACATGTTGGTCTTTTTCCTCCCTCGCTCCTGTATCTTTGAAACCGATTGTTTGAGGTTTTGCCGCTATCTCCTGACTTTCTTGGTTTTAATTTGTCTTTTAAACAGGCACTTCTTGGCGTGGATTTAAATGTGTGTGTTCCATTGAAAATTAGATATTAACTATCAGTGTTTGTTGGTGAAGGATAAACAGGTGGTGTTTGTGTAGTACCTATGCACTATTAGAGAAGTCTGCCTGTTTTTGAGACATGCCACAGATCTTTCTCCTCCCTCTTTCTACCTGCCTTTTCTTCATTACTAAATATATTTTGCTTCCCTCCTCCTTTCGGTGTCAAAGCTGTGGCCAGCAAGAACTAGACTCCTGAATGAAGGCAAGTGCTTCCAAGAAGCGTTAGTGTGAAGCAAGCTGGATATATTCTTTCTCAAGTCACAAATAGTTCAATAGAAACTTGATTTCATTTGCTTTAGTAGCTGAGAGCATGAGCCTGCATGCACATGTGCACTTATTTTTGACTATGTTTTTTTTTTCAATCATCTGTTCTAACACATTTTTTTTTAAATTTGTGTTATCACCCCTGCCATTGCTTGACATGTCTTTATCATCATGCCTCTCAAAAAGGGGGAAACTAAAACCAAAAGCTGTGAAAACTACCTTGCATTTGATTCAAAGCACCATTGCATTTGCTTTTTACAATTTCAAACTACATCATCACATCTGTAAAAATTGATTAACTCTCTTTCTCAGATCTTAGATTTGTTTGTATTTTTATTGCACTTGTGCACTTACACTTAAATTTCACATTTTTAGCTTATATTTTCATGCACACCACTCCAGTCGTTCCAGATTGTATCCATAGCCTTAGCATTAGAGCCTATCCATAACTTCAGTTTAAGAACACATCTTCTTGACACTGAATGCCTTTCTTTTATCTCTTAAACTTGCTTAAATTTTAAAATCAGCTTTAATTTGCAATTTAAATTTGCTGTTTGGTGTGGGTTTTTAAGCACAGTATGTGGCAAAAGAACAAGTTTCCCTGCGTCTTGCTATAAGAAAGAATTTGTTCAGGAAAAAAAGGGGGTTGAAGTACTTGCCTTCTCATGCCAAAGCCCCACCCAGATGGCTGTTTCCACAAGCAGTTTAAGTATTGCTCTCAGAATGCATCGTGTTTTCATTATCTTTCCAATTTAAAAAAAATTGTTTCCTACTTGGGAGTTGGACGGTGGTATTGATGTGACAGTCAGTGGGCAGGGCTGAACTTCGCATGTACACACTACAGTGTAATAGTTGGATTAGAAATGCATGAAATATGTTTGTGTAGGGTTTTGAATTATTTTAGTTAAGAAACCATTTGTCTTAACAGTAGATAAAAACATTAGTGCAGTCTTGAAATTCAGAATTATTAGTTTACATACATGTGTAGTTGCATGTCATTATAGACACCATGAGAGCTCTGCTCTTGTGTTCAAACACATACAGATGAAATTTTATTGGGGAAATAAAATAATACATACTACTGTATTCAAGAAAAAGTCATGGTTGTGTGCTGGCTCTATCTCTCCTCTTCTTGATTTGCAAGTCTTGCTGGTCATAGAGTGTTGTTCGAGACATTTGGTGTACTGCCAAAAGTAATAGAAAGGAAAAACACCCTTATACGTAGTTGGTGTTCACTGGGATGCAGTTCATTTTTATGGTTTCTGAATTATGGTTTGATACTTATTACAGCACCACCGTCTAATTAAGATTCTCACTAGATCTTTTTCATTGTGATTTATTTATTCCATTTTGAGGATGCATATCTGAGAGCATGTTGAGCTACAATGCACTTGTGCCTTGTAGTGCACAATAAAACTGTTCTGAGCAGATTGCTTCCAGATTTAGTCTGGTAGCAATAATGAGCAGTTTTATTTTTAAAGAATTGCTTGTGTGTTCTAAACTTAGAGAATTCCTGTCATATTTGGCTCGAAGGTTTCATTGGGCTTACTCAGAACTATTTATCCAAAAATTTAGCCAATGTTTGGAGATTCCGGAGAGCCAAAATGGAGGTGTTCCCTGAGCCATGGGTGTGTGGAGACTTTGCATGACAGGAGTTCATTATTGCTGTTTGCAGCTGGTGGAGGTCGCGGTAAATCCAGTCAGACCAGCAGTGTGGCGCACATCGATCCTGAGGGCCATTCGGAAAAAGCCAAACACGCAGGAGTAGGCGGCACCGAAAACCCCTCCATTAACCACAACGTTTCTTCTGAGTATATCAATGGCAACGACATCAAGAAGGAAATCAAAGAAGATACACCTGTGTAGAAGTACTTAAGTCTGCATCATGTGTTTAGTTAACCTTAAGAAAATTGGACTAAAGAGATTCTTTCCTTTTTAATTGATGGATCAAATTGCTGAATCCTGTTACCAGGAAGTTTATCGTGATCCAAAGTCTTTGTCAGACTGATTTCTGGGATGCCTTTCCCTGTCCTTTGCCTATCTCTGCAAGATTTTGCATGAAGTTGAGAACCTCTCACTGTTCAGGACAGGATGAACATTTTTTTTAGTTTAGGATGTATGTTTTTCTGATAGGCTTATAAAATGTTAAACCACAGTTTATATATTCAGACCAATCCATATTACAAATTTAGTTTTGATGAGTAAGCACTCAGTATTGAATACTCAAGAAATGACGGTGGTCGACTTCCACCGAGACTTCTTTCTGGTTGCTGGGCAACTTAAGTCATAGCTCATACCACCCATACTTATTTGCTGAATTTGTGTTGCTTCTTAGAAGCGCTGTCTGTTCTCAGTTCTATGCAGCGACTGAACAAAATGAATCAAAATAAGATTGTTATCCTTATTTAAATGATCAAACTGGGCTTTTAAAAACTTACAGGATTTGTTACCAAAATACTCATTATATGCTTTTCATTTAGGCTTTTATCAAATGTTTGTGTGTTATAAGTGTGCTGTGTAAACCTCCCTACTTTCGTTCAGATTTGGTTCACCCTTTGCTGCTAGAAATCTATTCATGCTCTCCCTTTTTTCCTGTGGCAAACTCATAGTATGACTCAAAGTTTAGTTCATAGTTAGATGTACTTCTAAACCTCTGTGATGACTCATATGTGGTCTGACAATGTATCAACAATTCATCAAAACAAATCAGATTTGTCTGGCTTCTTCAAGACTGTGCAACCACTGCCAGTATTTTAATAACTGACTGAATTCTCACTGATTGTTTTTATTTGGGACTAAAGCAAGACACTGGGGCATATACTCCTTCTTTTGTTATAAATTGAGACTCTTAATAGCCAAGGAATCAGGGGAGGATTTGTATTGTGCAATACTGCATCAAAGATTTCTGTACATAGTTTGAACTTGAGCACTCAATGACTATTAGGTAGATTTGTTAATTGCCCCAATCACCCATGGTAGCAGAATAATTTGCACCCTCTATTTTTATCATATTGTAAATACTTGTTGTTAAGTTGATGATTCCAAAGTGAGAAAGCCAATGTGGCCATTAGCAAGCATTGAGGACATCTACTGTTTGTCCATACAAGACATCTGGTCCTGCACCTTGATCTAGCAAACATCCTCAAATTGGGTAGTCCTTGACCTTTATGTTTAAAGGTGGTAATGGGAAAAGAGATTTACCTTTTCATTCTCCCATCAACTGAAGACTTTGAGGGCCTTTCCTTTAAAAAAATCCAATCCATGTCCTTATCCTGATATTTCCTAAGCATGGAAAGCAGGAGAAACCATTATTGCTTACTACTTAATGTTTGTCTCATGCTATTTCCCATCGACTTCAGTGACTGTGAAGACCAATTTAAAACTTTGCTGCTGTATTGAGCACAGTCACATTAATGATAGCTGCTATTGTGTTACAATATCTACCACTGTCCAAAGTTGTCAGAATTTTGTGCAGCTAAGTCCACAGGATTGTTATTGGGAAACAAGTAGACAAAGTTTGTGATCTCAATGTTATCAATGGACAAGCTCAACATAGGATTGTATGTGTCAATGGAATGTGTTAATGTCTAGCTGTAAAAGTTGAAGAAAGACGTGAATCTCACTTTCTTTTATTATTTTTTTTTCTTTCTCTTTTATTTGATATTGAATTTTTGATTGATCATCAACTTTTCATTTTAGATTTATTAATTGAAGTGCCATCATTCCAAAGTAACGGTATTTGGCATGCTTTTCTTCAGTTTTGTCGACTCATTCCTCATTTCAAGTAGGATCAGGCTTCCTTTCATATGCTGGAGTTAGATTAGCTTTTAATTTCCTAAATTAGTTTTTGTTGACCCTGAGTGCAGTGGTGGACATTGAATGAATCTTGGTGTGTCACTTAAGTAGGTTTATATACACTGTTATTTATAGAATGGTTTTACCTTTCCCGAACCCTCTCAAAATTTAGGTGTCATTATAGATATGCCTTTGCTTATCAAGAAAGAGGGCTTTGGTTTGTAGATGTGATTGAGCAAAGAATGAGAAATGGAAGTCATTAGACTTTAGGAACTGTTTGTTTTGTCTTTTAAGCTGCTCTTTGAATTTTCTTATTGGACATATAGTATAACTGTAGGATTTCCTGAATAGGACGTTTCGCGTTCTATTAAAGCTAACCTCTGCTGCTACTGTTTTAACTTTTATTTTACCACAGAGGATAATATCAAATTGAATTTCCTTATCTTTCTTTGTTAAATTTTGTGGGAAGCATTGTCTTGATCACAATGCGTTTTTGTCTTGCATCATTTCAGTATCATGTCTGCATAAGTCTTTTATTTTTTTATACTGATAGTATTCTGATTATCTCTTCTACCAATTGTTTCTTTTCTATCATATTTATTTGTTTTCTATGATTGCTGAAGAGATAAAATATTGTAAGAACGTTAATTGATGTTTTTGAACTTAGGTTGAGTTGTCTTGGAGAAAATGAATCATTCTACCCCTTTCTTATAAGAATAGATTTATTATTTTATGATGTTCATTAAGTACTGGCAATTGCTTCAGTGTGATGTACTTAAAGAATTTGCCAGGAGAAATGAAAGGATTCAATATTTGTTGTGTATAAGTAAGAAATTAGGAAATCTAGCAAGTTGTGTAAATAATCTGTTGTGAGCATCGAAATATGTTGACGATGGGGAAAGCTCCTTAAAATCTATTAGGTCACATTTCCACTATGTTGATAAATGGGCCTGCAAAGTCAGTAAAGATGCTACCTTTGCTTCATATTATTGTAAATAGATATTTAAAGCGAATTGCATCATTTTGTTTCAAAGAACTGGTTTAAAAAAAATGATAATAATTTGAGCATTAGGGCTCCCTTCAGTTCAAGGGTCATGTCCAGCCATTGGAGTGTAATGAACAAGCAATGCCAAGACTTATTGTCTCCTTGGTCGGGAAACATTTCCTAGATAATGATACCTAGGTCACAAATTGTATTATTTAGGACTCCTGAGTCTCTGCAACCACATACCGGTAATACTCCATAATCGTTTCAGTGTTAATTTAATTCTGAACCTCGGAATCTCATGTCTTATGACAGAAACCATGTACAAATTTTTGGGGCAGCACCTATTGATATTATCCGTTATAAATATTATTTTTAAATGTATTGTATGCTTGTAAGTAAAATCGAAACATTCCCTGTAGAAACGTGGAAAATTTAAAGTATGTGCTTTACTCAGGTGGTTGGGAAAATCTGTGAGCAAAGACTTTTGTAATTGTATAAGGACTATTTAATTTTTTTGATGTTCACCATCAGTACACTTAATATTTTCTTTTTCTTCTCTTTTTTTTCAATAAATATTGTTTTGATTAATACTGTGTGTCTCTGTTCTGAGAATCCATGCTATCACCTTGGCACACCCACAAACATTTATATGTGTTTTTCCTTCAAGGTTTTCTGTTGCCCAAAATTTGCTGTAATTCATTTTCTTATTTTCCAACAGCGTTACTTAGGTCAAAATATCCACTCTCAGATTTCTGATTTCAGGAGGTGCTGCTTCTCATCGCACCGGTGAAACGTAAGTAAATTCTAAGAGGGAGTTTGTGTTGCATGATAGTAACCAAAATTTAAGTTAAAACTCACTGGAAGTAATCACCTTTTCCATTGATCTTCCATGACATTTCTTTTGAGATATCAAAGAATTCAGTTGGTATAGTTTTACCGCATGATTAACTTAAGGTGTTTGTGTTTGTGTGTGTACTTACATTTTTTAGAGACATAGCAAATCTGTTTGTTTGTGAGAAAAGATATACAGTATCTTTCTGGATCTAAATTCAATGTGTAACTACTAAACCACTTTCACTAATAGGACAAAAAGTATAAACTTGACTGCATGCTGAGTGTTTAACTTTACGTATTTTGTGATGGGTGGTTTGATTTTAGGTAGGTTTTGGAGAAGTAAAATCTCTAGCAGATTATACTTTTTTTTTGTTTGAAGGGAAGGTTTGTTAGGCACACTGTGAAAACTAATGGGGAACTATGCTTGCCGATATTCCTTACTTTGACTTTGCATGAGGTGTACATAGGGCTGTTGATCCTTGTCCTTACAGAGGCGGTGATCCGGAAGACCCGGGTAAAACTGAGGAGGCCAAGAGGTTGACCCCCAAGAGCCGAATTTCCACATCCGTCAATAGTGAACAACTCCTCGGTCAAAGGCAAGGCTCAGTATTATGCTTTTCACAAAGCACTGATATTTCAAATAATTGAGCAAATTGTCACCATGAATAATTTACCTTGCACAAGCACATTTTGTTGTGTTGTTTCGTTTCTCACCAAAATACATTTATCTACATGCAAAGATCATCATTTCTGGGTACTTGAGCGTCGGTTTTCATTGGCACACCTACTAATACTTTTTTTAATACAATCTTTGTTTTGCATAGTTTGTGATGCAATAAATGTGGCCAGAGGGCACATCTTTTGAGTAGGTCACCAGAATTTCTGGCTTATCATTTCATTTCTGATGGCTTACTGGTAATTTGCTTGAGCATGAAGGGATTTATGTTGCGCTGGCTATATATAATACGCTAAAATTTGGCTTCGGTCATGGAATGTTTTTTTAGTACATTACCTTCAGTGCTTGCTTTATTTAGTTCATTGCCTATATTGCTTCAGGATTTTCATTGTAGTTGACTGATATTAATACACTGGTGCTTCTTTACTTAAATATGAATGGTACTCTCTGTATTCTAATTTTCTACAGTTTTTTTTTTAAATCTCATTGCATAACCCTATGATTTCCTCTAACTCTCATTCGAATGATTGCAGTAGTGACACTGAGAGTGCTGATCAAGGACCTGGCCAGAAGAAGAACATTTTAAAGAAGAAGGTGAAAATCCCCTTGACCAACATGTTCAAGAAAGCCAAAGACAAGGTTGCTGGTGACACGGAAGTACTTAAGGTAAAACGTCTCTGACAATAACAAATCTCCTTTTTGACTGGTTAAAGTTCGTGTTCAAATGGCCTGATTTGAATGTTTTTCAGACTGCGGTGGTGGTTGATGAGAAAGATGCGGAGAAGGCTGCTCAGCAAGTGGCTCAAGACGTGGAGCAGGGCAAGGAATGTGTTTACGCTGAACTTACACATGCACAGGCGGCAGAGCGAGGGCGCCCAGTAGTGGTTCGCCCCGAAGATGACAAGACGGAGTATGCTGAGATTGTGCACACCAAGGACGAGAAGAAGGGAGACAAGTAAACAACATACCCCTACAGTCTCTTGACTTAAACCAAATAATGTAAATGGGCCAGTTGTCAGGTATGTAGGTCAGGAATTGGAAACGCTTCTGTGTCATTGCCGGTTCAGCTAGAGGATGCTTTCTCTCCCTATAACTTGCTAATTTGTTTTCTTTACTATGTGCTGTGGTGTAGTTACTGCCACTGATTTGGAGCATAAATCATGACAGGTCTGACGGAGTTGCTGACGTTTGCAAATGCCTCCCATACTTATTTCCCGCTACCTTGTCTTTGAACTTACAAACCTCTAAAGTTACCATATTTCATATCACTTGAGGTATGCTAAGAAATTCAATTAACTGGGAAATTATCTCATCTCAGACATAGTTTATTCATGAGAACTGCTAGTTCTAGTCTCATGGTTAATATGTTAAATTAGATCCAAAAGTTTGAGTGCTTCTTTTATCAAGATATTCTTCTTTCTACCCTTTATGGCTATGCTTGTAGTAGGTTTGTGCCTCCGTTGGTCTTCCTTTCAGACGTCTCTTTCCCCCAGAACAACTACTGCCGCGTAATGACTTTTAACTAGAGCTGTGACTTTCCTTCAATTTTACTATCTTATCCCATCGGCAAAAATATTGCAAGCCAGAAAATTTTGACAGTGCCTTCCAATTCTGATCACCATAAACAAATGGAATTTTCCATTGTTTAACAGTGCTTTTTTGTAACTATTTTGTAAAAAATGTAAGGAAACACAAGTTTTATTGTGAATTTTTGTTGCACCTGGAAGATTATCCCAGCTCTTGTGTTTGTGTTTTATGTCATGTTAAAGAAAGACAATCAATATTGTCAATTTTGCACCATGCCTATTTTTCAGTATTTATGATGAATGTTGGAATAATTTTCTGTGTTCAATTTTAATGTGATAAGTAAGAAAGAATGTGTCTTATATCTTAACTGCCCACCTGTTCTTAGACTAGACAAAGCTTGGTGCTACATATGTCAAAGGCAGATGGTGCTATCAGTCAATAGCTATCATTTGTAATTTAAAGGATTAAAATTGTATTGGATTTATTTTAATGGCCTAGTATTTTGCTATGCAGTATGTCTGGAAATTTTGTATTTCATAATTACAAATTAAGGTTTTTTGTACTTAAGGGCAAGTATCAGGAACTATGCCCATTGTTTTTAATTTACTAAAATACAAATTATGAAAAGTGTGATTTTAGCTCTATGTGATCAAAGAGTAACTTTATTGTACAAATGCAAAAGGCATACTGCTTGGACAAGTATTGTTGGTTGTTAAAGACCAAGGCGTATTAGAGTTTTGTTGTGTTGTCATACGCATTGTAAGCATTTTGCATAAGCATTTAATTTTCATTGTTAAGCTATCATTTAAGATGAGTATATTTTATTTTACATTTTATTTTAAATTAATGAGAGAAAAATACTATTTAATATCTTACTATTTATGCGTGAGGAAAGTGTTGGAGTTGTTACATTCCCTGCATACCTAGCATTGGCTAGGCATGTGCAATGTGTAGCTTGGGTCTGAGCAATTTAACACCCTCTACAGTATTGCTGCATGTGCTGTTATGTAAATTGATTCTTACATAAAAAGAAAATATTTATTGCTAGTGTAAGTGTGTGTTATTGGATACATCACTGTACAATTTAACTGTCTCAATGCCCCCCAAATATTTAAATGTTCATCCCAAACTTAGAACAAAATTTGAAATGACGTTGTGACAGTGGGTAACGTTTTGATATTATTTTGTCAATGTGTGCCTTTAATTTGGGATTCTTGTGATGATAAAATACTATTTGAAGAGATACCTGAGGAGTACTATTCAGTAAATGAAAATTTGGTCCCACATGTACATCTGATTGTAAAAATGTAAGATGGGCTATATTTTCGTTCATTATCTGTCTCATTTGTGAATATGTGTGATTGTACTTTTGTGTAACTGTGGTGTGATTATACCTTTTCTTTTAAGTAAAATCTTCAAGTGAGTGGTGCTTATTGCTTTCACAATAAAAAAGATTATCAGAAACATTTTTTGAACCTCGTTTTTACTATTTTCACCTGGATGACAGTCAAGCTCCACCAGCTGAACCCATTGTTCACTGCCTCTTCACCGCCCCAGAGTTCAACTAGTCTGTGTTTAGCAGTTGGTCCCTTGGCGAGCTGTCAGTCGTGGTTAGATGTAGAAGCTTGGGTTCAAATCCCGGTTGGCTTACATTTTCTGCCGCAGCTCTGCTTTTGCAGCAGCGTGTCAAATGGGTGGCCTACCTTGACGGCGCGGCTATGTATAAGGGCCAGCACTTCTAGGCAATAATAGGCGCGGAGCAAAGACTCGTCTGTCCCTCTCTCCCCTCTAAAGGTGCAAGATGCAGAAGAGTTCCTACCGTCGGCTCCCTGGCTCGCACCCACCCCAGCCTGTCAAATGGGTGGCCTACCCGGGCGGCGCGGCTCTGTGTAAGAGCTGGCTCTTCCCCTCTGAAATGCAAAAGAGTTCCCGCCGTCGTCTACCTGCGGTAAAAGATGCAAGCATCGAGTGCAAGACTGGTACACGAACGCGTCTCACCGCGTTGGCCACTGCAAAAGGAAGTGCCAGCGCAGCAATCTTTTCCCCGAATCGAGTCGAATCGAACAACACGTGCTCAGCGACTCGGCGCCGGGTGTGTGACTTGGCTGTGACCGCTCTGTGACCGTCACGCCGATCCCGGCACGGCATGCCATCCAGTCCACCATGCGGCGCGGCCCACTGTGGCCGCCGGCCGCGCCTGCACTGCTACTGCTGCTCTGCGATGTGGGGCTGGCCGCCAACGAAGGTTCTTATGTTGGGCTTTTCTTGGGGGACGGGCCGGGCCCTGCACTAGCCCCGTGCACAGAATTGAGCATACGCTTCGAAATGCACGAATTCGTTCGTACCCAACACGAAGCATGAGTTTGAACGTTTCACGCGCATGCTCAATTTCGTGCCATAGGCATGCACACAAAAACTACCCGATGCTGGCCGTGGGTCACGGGCCAAACGGGCCACAGGTGTCGCCTGCCTGGAGCACGGCCAAGGCCTTGGCCAAGGCCACAGCCTGGGCGTCGAGGCCGAGGGCGCCGGGGGCTGCGTGTGCCGCAAGCCGGCGGACTGCCCCACCGCGCCGAGGCCGTCCCTGCTGGCGGCGTGCTGCGACGCCGGCCTCGTCTGCTGCCCGCTCACCGGCCTCAGCCAGAGGAGTAAGCCTCTCGCAGAGAAGAGGGCTCACGGTAACGCGTCCTTGAGGTACTTACCCGCTCTGCGCCGCTCTGCGTGCAGGCTGCCGCGAGTCCTCGGCCATGGCGCGCGGGGCGTGCCCGGCGCTGGCGCTGCCCCTCATCGTCGGCGGCGACCTGGCCGCGCCCGGGCAGGTGCCCCACATGGCGCTGCTGGGCTTCGGGCCGCTGCCGGCCGTCAAATGGCTGTGCGGCGGCGCGCTCATCAGCCCACGCTGGGTGCTCACCGCGGCACACTGCGTGCGCAGCGCCAAGTAAGAGGCCCTGTCTCGCCCTGTCTCCCTCGCGACCAACCACTCTGGGTGCACTCTAAAGTTGGCATGCCCTGAAGCTGGGCCACCCCGAAACTGGGCGAAATTTGGCACCCTAAAAAGTGGGGCGGGCGACACAGGCGCCCAGTTTCAGGGCGTGCCAATTTAGTGCGGGTCCTGTTCGCGGGTCAGGCCCTAGTCAGGCCTCCCCAAACATGTCCTCAGGGGCCCCGCGCGGTGGGTCCGCCTCGGGTCGTGGCTGGACGGCCAGGCGGAGGGGCCCGGCGCGCAGCAGCTGGCCGTGGAGGAGCAGGTCGCGCACCCCGCCTACCGCCCGCCCGCGCACTACAACGACATCGGCCTCGTGAAGCTGGCCGAGCAGCCGGTGCTGGGCCCGGCCGTGAGGCCCGCCTGCCTGCACACGCAGTACACCATCAATGCCACCAAGGCGCAGGCCTGCGGCTACGGCAGCGTCGAGTACGGTACGGCGCAGACCCCCATTCGACGAGCTCGGACGGGGTGGTGGCAGAGCGTGCTAGTGTTACACTTTCCAATGAACGTCATTCGCGCCTCGTAAAGACCAATAGCTTGAAAAGTGACCCCGTCCCCTTTCCCGGTCGGCAGCGGCGGAACGCCAGGGCGACGCCCTGCGCTGCGTGTGGCTCCCGCTGCTGCCGCGCGTCGACTGCGCCAAGTACTTCGGGGAGGTGATGGGCACGAACCAGCTGCCCCAGGGCATGCCGCGGAGCCTCCTGTGCGCGGCCGAGCTGGCCGGCGGCAAGGACACCTGCCAGGTGCCACACTGATAGCATGCTGCGTCAGCTGCGTCCCGTCCCGGCGGTCGCCCGGTCGGGCCGAGCAGCCTGACTCAGGCCGCGGGGTGGTTTTGTTGTTGGCTGTTGTGTTCCAGGGCGACTCGGGCGGACCGCTGCACCTCCTGTCCGACGTACCCTACTGCACCTACACCCTAGTGGGGGTCACTGCCTTCGGCAAGTTCTGCGGGTACGCCAAGTCGCCGGGCGTGTACACGCGCGTGTCCTTCTTCCTGCCCTGGATCGAGGACGTGGTGTGGGCGAGGGAAGGACCGGAGGGACCGGACCGCACGGACTACGACTACGACGAGTACTACGAGGACTACGACTCTCAATGTAACAGCCTTTGCCAAAAGTCTCGAGTGTTTTTCTAGTTTGTTTTACAACTAACACTCGCCACTATCTTTTCATTGCAGATGAAGCAAACTATCCTCATGTGGATGCGCCCTGGTTGTTGTATGAAGAATACACGTAGACTGAATTGAACTGCATTGAACTGTACCCTTCTACTTACTTGACCATATGGTTTGACTAATGAGTGATTGTATTGAAATGTAAATAAGTTCACCAACAACATTGGACTCACGAACTTACACAAAATCAACTATTTATTACATAACACCTTAACAAAATTTAACAAAAAAGATTTAACAAGGATGACATGAGTAAACATAAAGGTGACTTTTGTTCAAACGCCCAAGAATGAAAACTTCTGGTAATACTATTAGGCAGGCACCTTTGCTCTTCTAAGTAGACAAGACAGAACATATTTATGGTTCAATCATTTTCTGAATATAAAAATTACATCTTTTGGACAGGATATTTATGTCTTGCATACAAAATGGACAAAAAGCCCATATTTTGTTCACAGTTAGATGGCGTGCATGACACACACATGCACTGGGTGTTATTTTTTCCTATTTACTCGCAGGCTGATTTCCTCCCAGAACAAAGATGAAAACAAACAAGACTTGAGACAAATATTGCCTTAAGAAACGCATCATAATATCCTTTCCATGCTTCAGTTATTCTAATTTAAGATACAAAATAAATCTAAATTATTTATTGGCCACTCCATCTTTTGCTTGTCACTAGTGCTTGGCAAAACTGTTTTTAGCTAGACTGTTTTGTAATGACTTGCAGAGTATATGGCCTCCTGGAGTGCAACATGGAACTAAGCCAACTTCACAAGAGCAAAACAAAGGGAGAGCATCACTCACACATAATATCAAAAAAGTATTGCAAAACTTTCAAAATTTTAGATGCACAGATATCCGAATCACATAAAGGGGAAAAAATTGCACTTGCAGATTCCTGGGTAGACCTACGTTTGGAGTCATCTTAAATTCTTAATATTCTCTGGCTTATCTCAATTTTCACAGATAGCATAATCACAAGTGCAACTCGTAGTACCTGAGTGTTTAATTTATTAATTATTGATAAGTTTACTATTCTACAATTTATAATACAAGTTTAATAATTTACATGATGAGCATTCCTAGTACTGGTGCATAAGCGTCCAATTTGTTAAACTAATTCATTCATGTACAAAATTATATACAATCTACATCATGTATACATACAATATGTGCAGCTGGCTAGAACAGTACAAAGTTGCACTGGTTTGAGCAACACGAATTATCAAAGGCATACTTGCAGAATGAGTCAAAATACAAAGACAATTTTTGAATGAGCAGAAGTGCTAATCTAAGCATGCTCGAGTTACAGAAACAAAAATCTTGAAATGTTGACTTTGAAGAGAATCCAGGTCACTACTGTGCCTATCACTTAAAATATATCACACTCACCAGTACTACCTCCATTCCCATTACTGCAAAAGCCTTATGACATTGACTTTAATAGGAAACAAATTTACAGTGTAGGAAATTCTTCATCCTGTACATGATCAGGCAGCTCATATACATTTTGGGCAATTGCTGAAACATCCAACCCACCTTCTATCGACTAGAGGCATGCATCTAATCAAAATCAGTAAACGAGCAACCACTCAATCAGATAATAAATAAAATACCATTATCAACAATAGTTAAAATTATTAACAAGAATGAGTCGCATAGGTCACCAAGTTAAAAACTGTGTTTGGCAAAAAAATCATGAGTATCAAATTGTCAGTTTTTTGCAAGCGCAAAATGAACTTAGAGACCTTCTGTAAGTTCCTTTGCCACATTCATCAGTCATTCAAGAAACATTTTCCAGGATCCAAGGGACAAATTTGGATATTCTCGTGCATACTCCTGGTAGATTAGCTTCAGCACATCCGATGCCCCAACTTATGATTCCAGCAAGGAAGTAGCGTCCATCCTTGCCTCGAACTTGAAGTGGTCCTCCAGAGTCACCCTGCAAGAAAACAAAACCAAAACAAATGCACAGTTTTGAGGACCTTCACTTAACAAAAAAGTTTTAATTAGGTTTACAAAGTAAATTTCTCACCTGACAGGAATCCTGGCCACCAATATCATAGCCAGCACACAGGAAGATCTCAGGGATGAATTCATGGCGACCGGCTCTAAGGAACATGGCTTTGCAAATGTCATTACTGACAATAGGAACAGAAACCTGCCAAAGAAGAAAACGAAATGGTCAGTTCCAGGCAGTGCCGTGCGTAGAGGAGAGTGAAGGGACGGGGGACTAGACCGGCGCCGGAATGGTAGGCAAATTGCGACACATGCCTCGCCTGAAGGTGCTTCTGAGAGTCTTTTTCGCCGCCCTGTCTCTCTCGCACTCATGGGGCGTTCTCGTGGGTGGGAGAGAGACAGAGCGACGCCACTCACCTCCTGCAGCACGGAGGGCAGGGTGCCGCCCTCGCTGAGCCTGCCCCAGCCCGTGACCGTGGCGTTCTCGCCGATGAGCAGGTCGTCCGAGGCGGGCAGGCACAGCGGCGCGATGTGCGGCTGGAAGACGAGCGGCGCGTCCAGGCGCACCAGCGCCAGGTCGAACTCGTACGTGAAGTAGTTGTACCGCGGGTGCACCACCTTCCGGGCGGCCGCGCGCTCCACGTGCGGCAGCGGCTCCTGCACCGAGGAGAAGTCGTACTCGCCCACGCGGATGCGGATCTGCGACGTCAGCAGGCTGCAACAAGCACGTGCGTCAAGTCCCTGTAGGGGTCTCCGCGCGAGGCGGGCAGTCCACGCACTCGCGCGCCCGATTGGTGGCCTGCCCACCAGGCGCCGCTCCGCCGCTCCGCCGGAGCGGCGGTCTAGGTAGGACCGAGAGGACGGCGCGGCCCGGCCCGGCCCGGGGCAAGGGCAGTTAAAAGCATAACGAGGAGGGAAAGAAACCGGAAACGGTCTTACTCGTCGACGCAGTGGCCGGCCGTGGCGATCCAGTTCTCGTTGAGCAGCGCCCCGCCGCAGCGGTGCGTCGAGGAGAAGCCGAAGAAGGACGTCCTCCTGACGGACACCTGCCAGGGCCAGCCGCCGAACTGGGCGTTCCTGCCGCCGACGATGCGGGTCTCCGGTCGCGGGAACAGCGGGGGCACTCCGCACTCTGTCAAGGCAGCAGCGTGTTACTCTGGGCCGCCGGATGGCTGACTGGAGGTCTGCATCGGGTGGGTACCCAGTCTTTACCAGATGGTCCGACAACTTCGCAGTGCCCGGACACTCGACTCACCGTACTCTCCATTGCTGTTGGTCTGCGACAGCGCCACCGTCGTGGAGGCCATGGTGGAGGTCGCAGCAGGGGCGGGACTAGGGGTGGGCGCTGCCGACGGGGGCGGCGGCGGGGGCGGTGGTGCCGCCGTGGTGGTGGTGGTGGTCGTCGTCGTGGTCGACGTGGTGGTCGTGGTCGAGGTCGTGGAGGGCGGCCGCTTGGTGGGCCTCGGCCGTGGCTTGGGCCTCACCTGGCTGGACGGCCTCGGCCTCGTCACGAACATGGGCTCGTTGGTGGTGGCCCAGAGGATCATGTTGTTGCTGGCCGGCTCCGACAAGTTGGCCAGGATCGTGTTGCTCACGAAGTGGTGACCGGGCGTCGTCGGCAGTGGCGGCGGCGCCATCGTGGTCGTTGAGGTAGACGTGGAGGCAGGCGCGGCGGACGGACGGCTCCATCTGAAAACACAAATTTGTGTTCTAGATTACATGGGCTAAGCCTTTCAAAAGGCAGTCACAAAATCCCTACACGTTCCAGAAGAACAAAAAGGTGTAATCTCAAAACAAATAATCAAAAATTGGAGTTACAGCCCTCCGCGGTGGACTCACTGCGTGGCGATGGGAGGCCTGGTGCTGGCCGTCCACGTGGAGGAGGCCGTTGACAGTGAGGGACTAGAAGGGCGGTTCCACCAGTTGCTGCTGCTGTTGCTGGCCGCGCTGCCGCCGGTGCCGTGCGGCGGCCGCGACACGAAGCTCGGCCTGTTGTTGGAGCCGCTGCCGCCGGGCCGGATGGTGTAGATGCTGTTGGGCCCCACGATGGTGCTGGTGATGGAGCTGCTGGGGATCACGTTGGAGCTGATGTCGGGGCTGGACGGCGACGCGGCCGGCGGGCTGCTGCTGGGCGCGGGGCTGGCGGGGCTGGCGGCGTGGGGCGGGGGGCTGGGACTAGGCTTGGACACGAACTGGGGGCGAGTACCCGTGCTGCTCCCTCCTGCAACGACATGACCAACATCAAGGCGCCGACACGTAAAGTTGTTTTTTTTCTTTTTGGGCAAGCCTACATCGCGCACACATCTTAGCTCGTGCAGCACCGCGCACACCCGCTGACCCCGGCCCGGCTGGGCCCGGCGTGGCCTCTTCGCACGCTTCGCACGCCTTGCACGTGCAGGGCCAGGGGCAGCCAGGGGCAGCCAGGGCGCTGCGCGGCGCTGGGCGCAACCAGCTCGCCGCGCACACTCACTCACCCGGGGGCCGCATGGTCACGTCGTGGTGATAGGGAGGCGGGGGCTTCTTCTTGGGCGGCGCGAAGGCCGAGTGCTGGTCGTGCTGGTCATGGTCCACGGCGTTGGCCGAGGTGCCCGGTGGCCGCGGGGCGCAGCAGGAGCCGAACATGAACGTGTCCACGCACATGCCGATGTGGCGCCCCTCGCTCTGCAGGCACTCCCACACGAACATGCAGGTGCCCGCCTCGGAGCCCGCGCGACACGGCTTCTGGCTGATGCTGTAACCTGCAACAGGGCGGGCCGGACGGGCCGCTACAGTGCGGGCACACCGTGGCATGGCTCGGGGACCATTCTTCGCATGCCTCGCATGACAAACAACGAGGTGTACTTTTTCGTGCTGTGAGGAGTCCGATATCTAATCCCTTATGCATCGTGTGACCAGTGCAATGACCAACGAGGTCCGACAGCTTCGGATGAGGCCATGCTGTCCGAGGCCAAGGAGTCCGAGGCCATGGAGTCCGAGGCCATGGAGTCCGAGGCCATGGAGTCCGAGGCCATGGAGTCCGAGGCCGTGGAGTCCGAGGCCATGGAGTCCGAGGCCATGGAGTCCGAGGCCATGGAGTCCGAGGCCATGGAGTCCGAGGCCATGGAGTCCGAGGCCATGGAGTCCGAGGCCATGGAGTCCGAGACCATAGTCCGAGGCCATAGAGTGCGAGGCCATGGAGTCCGAGGCCACGGGGTCCGAGGCCATGGAGTCCGAGGCCACGGGGTCCGAGGCCATGGAGTGCGAGGCCATGGAGTCCGAGGCCATGGAGTCCGAGGCCACGGGGTCCGAGGCCATGGAGTGCGAGGCCGTGGTGCCTGGCACGATGCGCAGACAGTGGCGACGCGGGCGGCGCCTTGCAGGCCGCGCGGTGCGGCGCGGTGTCCTCACAGGCTAACGAGGACGGCCCGCTTGGCCCGCAGCGGATGAGGCGGTGAGAAAACGGACAGCAGGCACGCAGCGCCTAGCAGCGCCGTGCAGGCACTGGCCGACAAGCCACTAGGCCGCACTGCGCTGCGCTGCGCTGCGCTGCAGTCCCGCGCCGCCGGACTCGCCGGATTCCAGGCAAGTGCATGCGCGCCGCCGATCTGCCTGCCTGCCTGCCTGCCGGTCGTAGCAGCTTTGTACGAATTTCCTCGACAACGCCGCCACTATGCCGCCATCCTGCCGCCCAATCCACCGGCCCGCGAAGAAAGTTCCGAGGACCTACATCCACATCCCGGCGGAGAGGATAAAAAAGCACGTGTTTATGGCTAGCCGCGCCGGCCATGCTACACGGCCGGGATACTGGTATTCCGGGGGTACCCGGCCGGACTACCCCGTCCGGCTGAATCACCCCCCCTCCCCTTCCCCCTCCCCAGATACTGGCGATAACGCCCGGCGGTCCGAGGCCCGACCGGCCGCCCGGACCGGCAAGCTGCTAACCTCACGGCAAACACTCGACAAAGGCAATCTCAAATTGGTCTAATTGCGCGATCGGGCGAGATTGCCTTGCCGGGCGTCTCCTTGGCGCGGAAAATGCCGATAATTTGAGTGGCCGGTCGGAGCCTTCCTTCCTTCCTTCCGCCCTCGACCAGCCTGGCCAGCCTCAGCGAGCCGCCCGGCCCGGAGGATGCTGTTACTGGCTGTTACTTTCGCTGGGCTGCGTGCGAAGCAGCGAAACGCAGTGGCGTCCACCGGGGCGTCCACCGGCCCACCACGCGGCGACCTCGGCCTCCCTCGGCCCAGCAGACTCATTCCGAGAGTCGTTCTCGTCACTCCGTCTCTATCGCACCGACACAGGATGCCCTCCGAGTGCGAGAGAGACAGGAGCGAGGCCTCCCGGAATCAGTACGCTCCGCAGACAGCCGTGCGGACGACTTGGACGCAGCCCCTGGCCAGCGAGCCTGGACCTCGGCTCCTCGATCGGCCCGACGACATGCTGGTTACACTGTAATGGCAAATATCGGCCAAGGTGGGGCCGTTAAGCCCAATGCCAGCACCGCCAGCACGGCCGGCACGACGCGCACTTTCGAGGGCTTTCCTTCAGCAGGGGCGGATCCAGAATGGACCCGAGGGAGGGGAAAAGAAGAGCTTTCTGCATCTTGCGGGGGCAATGTGTCGTCTTTTGCCCAAAAGACTCTCCGAGGGCCAAAGTGGAGGCGGTGAAAGTCCTGCTGCCCCGTCTCTGAACCCACCCCTGCCCTGCTGTGGTTGACGGCTACCGCTCACGAAAAACCAAAGCAAACAAACAAACAAACAACAAAGCGGGCAAAAATACTTACTTTGGCCGCGATGCATGGAACGCAGCGTCGCCGCTCGAGTGGCCCAATACAGCAGCAGCACCAGCGGTAACAGCGGCGCCTGCCACCGCCACCGCATCCTCGTCGCGGCGTCGCGGCCTGCAACACCGACAGCCCCGTTAGGACGTACAGCCACCACACGCTAAGGCGGACCTAGGCGAACTAGGGCCACCAGGGGGGAGGGGGGAGGAAAAACCTTCTCTCCAAAAGTGTGGAGAGGGACAGAGAGAGAGAGAGAGAGAGAGAGAGAGAGAGGAGGAGAGAGAGAGAGAGAGAGAGAGAGAGAGGAGAGAGAGAGAGAGAGAGAGAGAGAGAGAGAGAGGGAGAGAGAGAGAGAGAGAGAGAGAGAGAGAGAGAGAGAGAGAGAGAGAGAGAGAGGAGAGAGAGAGAGAGAGAGAGAGAGAGACAGACAGACAGACAGACAGACAGACAGACAGACAGACAGACAGACAGACAGAGACAGAGAGGGGGTGAGGGGTGAGGTTTGTGCACCGGGTTCGACTCCCGGCGGTGCCCCCTTTTTCTTGTGCGCTGTGCAGTTCCTCGCCACTGACTCAGGCAACGCCGCGACAAAGTACGGAGCAACCAATCACCGGGCGCCAAAAGAAGAATTAACAAGTTTGGTCGCAGCTCAAGGACTCCGTTAGCCGCTGCTCGAGTTTAAAATGCCACACTACACTAATTAACGCGTGGTAGATGGTGGGTGTCAAGAGCGACGCGCGCGGCGGGGAGGGGGAGGGGAGCGGGTGGAAGTCAACGGAGCGAGAAAGCCGACCTTCACTTGGTTGCTTCTCTTCACGGCGTATGATCACAATCGCTGCAGCGGATCCATTAGGGCACAGGCTGGCACGGCCGGCCGGGCAGACCACTGGCAGACCGGGCACAGCGCGGTACAGCCTTAGCCAGCCGCGGAGCGCGGAGCGCGGAGCGCGGAGCGGCCAGGGGAACAGCTGATCTTGCACCGGGCCGCGTGCCACGCACCGCCCCGCCCCGCCGCGCCACGCCGCCATGTACAGACCAGCCTGACCAGCTGATCGGCACGTCGGCACGCGCGGCGACGCGGCGACGCGGAGACATGCACGACGGTCGGGCGGTCATTACCATGCCGGCCGCCAAGCAATCTTCGACCAAATTTGACCACCTTCAAGTGTTGCACTTTGCACTTCACTTCGGGCGACACGGTCCGAGCCCGCCCGACTATGTCCAGGTTAAAATGACCTTTTCTAGAAATTTCGAAGACCGTCGTCCTCCGAGGTTCCCCGTCTGCCACAGCGTGATTTAGGTCTACTTGTAGTCGGCCAGCGCCACCGTGGTCGTTGTACGCAGTGTGGGCCCTCCTAGGGGCGGCCCGAGAGGCCCGCGGCCCGTGATTCACGCCGGGCAGGCAGGCCGGCCGGGCCAGCACGACAGCTTCATCCCGCATTTACATTCAACAAAGTTGTGGCGGACGAGCTCGCCGCGCGGCACCGCGACCAGCCCGACGCACTTGTTGTAAAGCTCCGGAGCGCAATAAAGTTCGACGAGGAGCTCGCCGCGCCGCGCCGCGCCGCCAGCCGCCACCGGGGCCTCTGAGACATTGCTTCATCCGCCCCGTCCCGTCTGCCTCCCACACCGGGCGCGGTCAGCACGGCCCAGCACAGCGTCGCCCTCGGGCCGCCCTCGGGCCGGCTGCAGACTAATTCCCCCTCCCCATGGGGCGACCCATACGCGTCCGAGAGAGCCAGACCGACGGGACCTCCCGCTCGGAATCAGCCTGCCGGGCGGACGGCCGCGCAGCCACGCACCATACGGCGCCGTGTGTGCCACACTGTGAGGCAGTCCCAGTCCCGGACGGCCCCGGAGCACCTCACCGTCCGTGGACTTTCTCAAACAGTGTGGCTTTCACATTTTCACACCCATGCGGCAAGCTCGGAGGCGGTGTCGTACCGCGCGCGGCGCGCACTTGCGGGGGGAAAAGAGAGAGAGAGAGGGGGGGGGAGAGAAATGGTGGAACACGCACAAGATGGGTCATAAGTCCTCCCTTTGCGTGAAATGAGAAGCGGCGGTGCGCTGCAGCCGAAACATCACATTGTGTACACACACACACACACACACACACACACACACACACACACACACACACACACACACACACACACACACGGTGAGGTGAGCATGCATACACAAAGAGGCAGGCAGACAGACTGTCGAAGTCTATGGTTTGACCCTCAGCCCGTTAACACCTCCTGGGCCGCTTGTTTTTCACGCGCGTGTGTGTGCGAGTGTGTGAGTGAGGAGGAAAGGGGTGGGGGAGGGGAGATGCATCGCGGCTCGTGCATTGAGAGACTCATGAGAAAGGCTGGCTCAATAAATAACCGGGTCAGGGGTCAGTGCGGCGGGGAAACGAAAGACAAGGCGAGAAACAGACATCGGCCAGCAGTGCTCGGCAGTGCCGGTATTCGAACCCTCGAACACGGGGCCGGCGCGGCCGGGACCTCAAGGCCCATATCGCAAAGCGTTCCGGCTCAAGTAGGTCAGCGCTACTCACACACGTTCCGGCTCGGTTCGCGATAGCGGGGCCGAGCGGGGCGGTGCTTCTGGAAACCCCGTGACAAAACAGTGGGCACGTCACCGGGGTGCCCCCTGGGCCCCTGGGCCCCTGGGCCCCTGGGGGTGCCGCCGTGGTTCCTCCCGGGGCGGGGCGGGGCGGGGCGGGGCGGGGCCGGGCCGCGCCCCAACAGGATGTGCCCCGGGATGGTGTAACACGGCCTCCGCGGCCTGCGCCACGGCCTGCGCCGGGACCGCTGGGCCGCCTAGCCTCCGGCGCGGACCAAGCCGGCTGCGAGGCTGCGTCTGTCCGGCGGGCCGCGGCGTCGCAGCGCTTCCTCGGAAAGGAAAGTCGTTAAGACGTTTTGCTCACCTGCAATGCCTGCAACTAGGCTTATGGGACCGCCCGCCCGCCGCGCCGCGCCACGCGCTGGCTCCCTCGGTGCACCGCCCTGCTGGCCGCGGGCCGAGCTGAGCCGAGCCGAGCCGAGCCGAGCCGAGCCGAGCCGAGCCGAGCCGAGCCGAGCCGAGCCGAGCCGAGCCGAGCCGAGCCGAGCCGGGCCGGGCCGAGCCGAGCCGCGGCGCCGGGACTGCGGACGACTACCGGACAAGAAACGGCGGCGCAAGCCCGTAGGTACGCCGACTCGAAACTCAAAACCGTGAATAACCGGGACACCAGGGGAGGAGTCGGCCGGTGGGAAATCGCACAAACCGTGAAGGGTTTCGAGTTACCGCAGAAGCCGCCAAGAGGAGGAAACGGATTTACATTCAAATTCACATTTACACGCGCTCCCCGCTCTTCTCCGGTCACGGTCAGGTCCGCGCGGGCGGAGCGGGCGGAGCGGGCCGCCACGCCGCGGCCACGGCCACGGCCGCATCGCTTGAGGAGGGCGATGACGTTGCTCGCGTCGTGCTGCCCATGCGTGGCATTGCGTAGCGGCGTAGCCATGGCGTAGCGGCGCACCACTGTTTTTTCTCCTCCGGCCGAGCCGTGGGCCGAGCCTTCGGCCGCGCCACTGTTTACCTTAACGGTAGATCGGGAGCCGAATTCGATCGTCCACTTGGCCCTGCGGGGTCCCTAACCTTACCGCACCGCAGCGGTCAGGGACTGTGTTTGTGTATGTGTGAGTGTGTGTGTGTGTGCTTATTGTTCGTGCGACTGGAACGTCATTACGAGCGCCGAGGCTGGGCTGTGTGCCCCAGGGCGCCGGCGCACCGAGCATCCTCCAGCGCGCACACACACAGACACACACTCGCACAGACACCGCTCGCCTCTACCCACCTACTCCTCAACAAGTGCACTTCGGCCCCGGCGCGCGAAACATTATTTGCAGAGGGGAGTGTTACTGGAAATATGATTGCGGAGGTTCGCTGCTGCAGGCGCGGCTACTACACTGCCGCTGCCGAGAGGCGGCCCTGCCCGTTGTCCGGAGGCTCTTCGGCGAGGCTCCCGGAGGCCCCGGTCAAGTCGCGCGGTCCTGCGGTCCTCGAACCGGAGTGAGCGTCACCACGCCGGGCAGGCCGAGCAGGCCGAGCAGGCCGAGCAGGCCGAGCACGACGACACGCCGCGGCCTTGGGCACAGCCGCCCAGATTACACTCCGCCGGACAAAAAAAAAAAAAAAAAAAAAAAAGCGGGTGCTTGTCCTTAGAGTAACTCTTAGCGTATTTTCATTATGACAGTGGAATTCTCTGGACCTCGGCATCTCCGGGGCGAGGACCCCGCTTTTTTTCGGGTGTGGACGCGCAAGACGCCCCCCCCCTCTCTCTCTCTCACCCGTTCACTTTACCGTCGCCGCTTACAGGTTCTTCCGCCTCCCTGCTGGCCGACTGTGGCGCGGTGAGAACGTACGTACAGGATTGGTCGGCTTCCAAAAGGCGCGCGCGCGCGCATCCAGCGGCCAATAGGCTGGTGCAGCTGGAACTCGCGTAAATCGCACAAAATATCTCATCACACGCTTTTCCCGAGCGTGCTGGAAGGCGGCCAGTCATATGTTGCCCCTTGCCCCCCCCCCCCCCCCCCCCCACACACACACCTGCAGGCCTTCCCTCGCCCCGCGGCTCGTGGGCTTCCCCGCGCGCTTCGGATTCGGGCGCGAAACACGAAATGCGACCGGCGAGACGCGACGCCGGAAACAATCCTTTTCCGGGCGCAGGGCGGCCCGGCCCGCCGCGGCCCGGTCCGGCCGAGGAAGGCAGGAACAAGGCCGGTGTCCGCGGCTCTGGGGCTCCGGGGCTGGGCGAGGCTGCGCGGCTAGTGCTGCTGTTAACACGCCGTGCCCGTCCGCCGGCTCCTTAAATAAATTACCAGGAATTTATGCCCCGCACTGTGATGCGCGGCTACACTGTTGTTTTGACAGAACTACTTTCTACCGCGTGCGTCCCCTGTCCATCCGTCCGTCCGTCCGACTGTCCGTCCGTCTGTCCGTCCGTCTGTCCGTCCGCGGCTCCGCACGGCAACCTGACCAGCTGCGCTTGCTGCGCCGTGCCGCCAACCCCGCCGGCCACCGGCCGCCGCCACCCCAACCCGAGAGGGAGAGCGTCGCTCAGCGGCGGCGCTGTCTCTCTCGCACTC